AATCGTTTAAAACGAATATCTGTAACTTAAAATATTGAATCAAACGTATAAAAAAAAAAAAGTCGAGCCGTGCCATAAAGCTGTTTGGCTCAGATTAGCTGATGGCTTAGCTGCACTTCAACATTTCCAACAAATTTTAAATCGCTTAAAATAAATATCTGTAATTCAAAATATTGAATCAAACGTGTAATAATAATAATAATAATAATAAATAGTCGAGCCGAGTCATAAAGCCATTTGGCTCGGCTGTAAACAAAACTAATCAAAGAAAAAAAACATTTAAAAAAAAAAAAAGCCGAGCCGAGCCATAAAGTCGTTTGGCTCTGCTCGACGGCTCGACTGACTGCTTATGAACAGTAATGACAAACTGGCTTTTTATTTATGGTAGAGGTAGATAGAAACTTTATCATGAAAAGATATGTGGCTAGTAAAATACAAAAATATTTATTATTCTATACATTATTATTACATACAATGGAAATTGAACAATCTTTTATTCCATTGTCATTACTTATTTCAATTCTTTTTATTCTTCAATATTTGTTTTGAGTAGACGGGCAATTTTATTTGAACGTTAACTTCGTTAATTTTTAGATGATTGTTATGCAATCGAAACGGTATTTAATCTTGGGTGTGTTCGGTAGAGATTAAAATTGGATTAAAATTGAAAAATTAACCGTTATTATTGACTTTTATTAGACGAGTGGGACCCAATAACGATCATATTTTCAATTAAAATTGAATTTTAATCTTGGGCAAACATGCTCTTAATTATACAATCAATTGAAGTTGGGTGGCTCACATGAAATAAACCTGTAAGTTGATTAACCTCTAGTGAAATTTTCCCCTCGGAGCTGCCGCTACGTGGCTTTTTTATAGACTTGAAAAATTTGAGAAAATCTAATTCTAGAAGGCGGGCCCAAACGCAGCCCTAATTCTTGAGTTTTCGGTTTTCCTTAAGCTCTCTATAGTTGGGGTGTCAGTATTTTCTCCAATCAATTTGGAGAAATCTGCTTCCACTCATTAATAACAAACGGAAAACCGGTATAACAGTGCGATTTAGTCACCGCACAACGTTGTAATTACAAGCCGAGATCAACAGGTATATATAAGTGTGTATGTATCTATTCATAATCTTCAATAGATATATAGTATATGCTGTTATGATGGGAATCCATTTTTTTTATTTTGATTTTTTAGGGGATATTGTTCTGGTTTTTATTTTATTTCTTCATTTTGGTTGGTAATAATCTAATTTAAATATAAAGAGGTCGATTATAATTCATCTTCTTGAATAATATGTATGTGTATGTGTTTAATCATTTGACTTGTAGAGATATAGTGTATGTTATTGTAGGAAACCGACTTTCTATTTGTCATTTAGGGCATACTGTTCTGGGTTTTATTTTATTTCGTCATTTTTAGTGTTTTTTTGGTAATATTCTAATTAATTGTGGAGGTCAATTATTGTTATTATTTTCTGAATATTATGTAGTTTTTTAGAATTTCTGGGCAAAGAGGATTTATGGGTGTTGAAATTTCTGGTTGTATATTTTTCCTGAAAATGAAACTTTTTTATTTGGTTTATGTGCTTAAATATAAGTTATTATTCATTGTGTCATATGGTTTGTTTTCTTTGATATCTTGATTTTGTTCCTCTTCTTTCCCCAATCATGGCGGACGATTGTCATTTGGAAGACCTATTTTATGAGTAAAAATGTTGAATGGGTGCTTATATTTAATGGTCTGTTCTGGGAAAATGGAAATATGACCATTTCGGAATCATTGATTTTCAGGTCAATTTATCTTAATTCGGATTTATATTTCTATTTGAAAAGAGAGATTAATTGGAAGATGGTAGAAGAATCGAAGCATAACAGAAATCCATGGATGAACACAGCAGATCAACCATCTAGAATGGTTGATATTGATAAAAGTGTCACATTGATGTCTGAATCAATGGTGATCATGGATGGAGTTGAAGCTGCTCATCCTAAGCAGGTTCAGTCTCACAATTTGAACACCGCCTCTGATGGAAAATTGGGCTTGCCTGAGCGTGCCTTTTCAGCTGCTGGTGCTGCATTTCTCTCAGCCATTCTCGTTAATCCACTTGATGTTGTCAAGGTGCAATCATGTTTCATGTTGAAGTTTTCCATGTTGGATGTATCTGCTTGTACTAGTAATGTCTCTGGGGGTCAAGTTGTTGGTTGATTGCATAAGAGAGTTTCTTCTTCTCAATGGGTAGAGAATAGAGATCATATTTTGAAGTGAAAAATTATTCCTAATGTATTGCATTTTCCTGTTCTGATTTGTGTGGAAACACTTTTTGGTTGATTAAGCTCTATTGTAGGCATTTATAGCAAATGTTCGAATCATCTTGTTTCCCTTACATATCGTCAATTTGTATTCTTTCACTTTATACATCCCCTGTTTAGGCTCCATTTTTCCAAAAATACATTTTTTTTCCAAAACTCATTTTTAACCACATTCTTCTATAAAATAATGTTACACATAAACCCAAAACTTCTCCTTATTTTTAACCGCACATTTTCCAAACAAATCATTATTCCAAAATATATTTTCCTCCAAAATCTCATTTTAATGGAGCCCAAACTGGGGCATAGTCTTTGTTTTCCGTTGCATGTTGTGAATTTATACCCATACATTTATAAATAGAATGCTGTTGTCTCACTGTATTGGTTATGAGTTCTTGAACCTGCAAGGCGGAAAACGAAATTTTAAATTAACCATAATTCTTTCAGCTGGATGTGGAAATTTAGTTGTATCTCTGAATATGCTTTCTAATAATTCGTTTGCAGACGAGGTTGCAAGCACAGGCTGCTGGAGTTGCTTACTCTCATCCATTGAGTAATCTTACAAGTCGCATGGCCTTTTTCGGACCGAATATGGTATGTAATATTATCTTTCATTTCTTAACCTAAAATTCTGGTGCCCCTCATTATAGAACTTGTGTATGTTCTCTTTAATTTTCCATCCTACATTGTTGTTAACAATTAAGAGTAAAACTTTGCTTATCCTACATTGTTTAGGTATCAGTGGATCCGGTTTTCATTCTACAAGCAACCATCATATGTAATTGTGTAAACGAAATTCAGACAAAAGTTTTTGTTTCCAAAATTACTGACTTGATAGGTCGCACAAAGTAACGGGGTACTTTGACACTTTACATTTGTAATACTTAAAACAAAAAATAAATTTTAATGCAGTTCTTGACCTTCAAGTTCCAACTATGGTAATTTGTACTTCCAAGAGTCTGTATTTTTATCTGATTTAAAGTTGCTTGGACTAACAGCTGTTGAATGTAATTATGTAAATCTTTGTCATTATAACAAGTTAGTTTTTTCTGTCTCAACACTTAGTTGAATAGATGTCAGAGCCTTAAAGGGATCTTAGAGTGGTGAAAATGCGTTTAACGTGACATTAGATCCATGGGATTGAAGGATTTAACTTACATCTTAATCTTGTAAAATGCCATTCTGTTACATCTCATCAAATCAACCCATTTCAAAGTTAATTCTTCGCTGTAATTTTGATGCTCCGAGTCTGTTACCTTGTTTCTTATAAAAAGAATATTTACATGTATTTAGGTTGATATCTAGTCAACCTTGGTGAAATATTTGCCATTCAGAAGCATAGTTTATCTGGTGGATTCAATACTTTAGGTTGAAATTCCTCTTACTTGTCCTTCATGGTATGTGCAGTTCAACTGAGCTTACTGCAATGTATGTGCTAGATGTTTGCAGATCTAAGATGTTCTCCATCATGCACCCGTGCTGGCGTTCATGGTACTGTATCAATTTGCCCTCCTGATTGTTTCCAGTACAAAGGAACGTTGGATGTCTTCTATAAAATTATTCGACAGGTAGTGTGGTGATAGTTACTTTTATTCAAACTATGTTTTTGCAAGATGTGTTAACCTAAATGAATCAACCTTGGGCTTTGTGCAAACTACCATTTTAATATTCTTGGACATGTAACTGTTGTGTGCTTTACAGGAAGGTATTTCTAGGCTGTGGAGAGGCACAAATGCTGGATTAGCTCTTGCTGTACCCACTGTAAGTTTTGGTTTACTGAGGCCATTGGTCACAGCAGTAAAATCCATTATTCGTCCCATGTTAAAATGAGATTTCTGCATAGAATATTCAGATGATAAGTCTTCTCTGTTTTCCAAACAGGTGGGCATCTACTTGCCGTGCTATGACATTTTCCGCAACCAGTTAGAGGAATTCACTGCACAAAATGCTCCAAGCTTGACACCATACACTCCATTGATGGCAGGCTCATTGGCTCGATCTTTAGCTTGCACCAGTTGCTACCCCGTTGAACTTGCCAAAACACGTATGCAGGTAGTATTTATAAAGCTGCCTTTTGTTTTTCTCTTTCATATGTTCTTCCCATTCTTCTTTTCCAATAATAATTATCAACATGGTATACAGGCATTCAAGGATTGTGGCAAGAAGCCTCCTGGAGTATGGAAGACTTTAATTGAGGTGATCTACCAGGTCAAGAGCACGACTAGCTTCACTAACAGCTGTAAGTTGATATTCTTAGCTTATTAAAGAAGGTTGATTTTATTAAACTGAGAGTTAATAATTTCTTCAAAAATCAGGCAACCAAAGACTTATGCTTAGAAATCAACTTAGGTGTTATGGCTATGCCAATTGTTTTCTCAAAATTCTTTAACTGAAGGAAAATTAAAATTTTCCCCTTCAGATATCCTGTTAGACCTCATAAATGAAAGAAAACTCTATATTTCTAGGCAATTTTTTTTTTAGGTAAGGTAGGGTTCCAGCTTTTGTAGCTATTACAGGAATTTTCTGGCTTTTTCTGTCATTCAAATAAAATTTATTGTTGTTAATGTATAAAATGTGTCAATCTTTTCAATTCCTGACATTTATGAGGAGATTCATATGGACGGACTTGATTCAACTCATCATATCTTATTCTGTTGCAGTGCAAAATTACCGTGTCTTGTGGACTGGCCTTGGGGCACAGCTTGCTCGTGATGTTCCTTTCTCTGCAATTTGTTGGTCAACTCTTGAGCCAGTAAGGCTTGCTATTGTCTTGTATATCGGAATCTTTGCATACATTTTATCCAAGAGCTTTGATATTAAAAGTTCTCTGTTATAGGTAAGGAGGAAGCTTCTGGGTCACGTGGGAGATGAAGCTAATGCAGCTAGTGTACTTGGGGCAAATTTCTCTGCTGGTTTTGTTGCTGGGAGCCTTGCTGCTGCTGCTACATGTCCGCTTGACGTTGCAAAGACTCGAAGGCAAATTGAGGTTTTCCCTTGAACCAAAAATAATCTTCTGGAATTGGTCTGAATTCCTTACATTTAGGATTTTATACAGTGACGATACATATCCGTTCTTTCTAAGTGGTTCTTTTGTTGAGCATATGATTTTTTATTTTTTTTAAATTAATGGAATAGTCGTGAACATTGACTCGCGTCACTGTT